ATTGGCTTGTGTCAAAAGACAAAATTTGGCTCACTTTGTGAATAACTCCATACACTGCCATATATACTATATAATATAGTATATATTATATACTAATATATATACACTAATATATATAACATATATTATGCTATATAATATAGCGTAATATTTTCACACGGTATATTCTTCTACCATGATGAAAAACACTACTTTTCCAAACACTGAGGCCATGGGCAATCTTGTAAATGATATCTAGCAATAACAGAGAAGTTTTTACAGACTGAATTAATAATAGAGTGTCAATACAATTTATGTTTCTTATAGGATATTTATGCTCATTTTTTGTAAATTTTGAGATAAGATTCCAAAAAAGCCAATTTCATTTTGAATTAATTCCCTTTGCATAAATATGGCACTGTTATATACTTAAAATGTTTTGCAAAACTCTTGGGAACACAGCCTTAAATTATGTAAAAGCAATGCTCTGAAAGAATTATTCATAAGTAAATCTTTGAAGGATCATTGATTATGCTCCTTTAATCTTTGCGTAATTTTATAAACATTTTAGCTCCACATACTATTTTAGATCCCTCAACTCTAAAAGTTACATCCCGATTGAATTACGAGACCGGGTCTTCTGAGGCTAAAGAAATAAAGCATGACTAAACTAAAAAGCATGCTGCTATAAACTCACCAGAGCAGCATTTTCATGCTCAGCAAGATTCATAACACGGCACAGCAATTATTAAAATATGTTCTGTAGCCTTATCTCCAAACCGGCTGCAAACACAAAGCGCGCGCACCACACAGGTACCGTTGTATGTAGCTCGAGTACGGGAACGGAGCAAGAACTCAGACCTACGGTAGCGTGAAGTCTCAGGAGCGTTAGTTATTCATTTGAAAAGCGTAACGACTGCGCACGGGGATGCGCGGCAGCCAAGGCTGAGGAGCACCTGAGAAGCCCTAGTTCAAAAAAGGCATTTGTTTTTCCCTCTTCTGTGAAAGGGGTGAGCGTGTTTACCCACAGGCTCTGCAGGCGATGCCCCTGAAGAAAACAAAAAAGGGACAGAAATCCTCCCGTCTCTCCCCCACCGCTCGGCAAGGGCCAGAACCAGGTCTAACCTGCAAGTCGGACTTAGAAATTTCCGCCCGCTGTTGACAAAGTTGGTGGCACGCAAAGCCGGTGCCCTGTGTGGCGCAGCACCTAAACCGCGGGGGGGGGGAGAGGGG